AACTATCGTTGGTGGCGAAGTTGGACTATCGACCTTGGTTACTCCTCCATCGTGTAGAAGCTCATGCATTACAAGAGTGTCCACCACTTTATCAATACATTGCCAATGCTGCCTCCTACATGATCAAGAAGAATGTGTCGATTAGTTTAAGACTACCAAGATTGTTACCACCTACTGCTATTGTTGCAACATTGATGAGTTGGACACCTCATGAGAGAAAAGAGTTTGGTGGTCCTACTTCACCACCAATGATAACCATAATGCAACATTCCACGGTCTAAAAAAGGTACGAGTGAAAAGTATTGACAAAGTGACAATATTGAAATAGGTTTTAAAAATTTTTGTCTAAAACCAATTTACTTACAAGATAATATGAAATAAAATATAATAAATATAATATTTATTATGTTAGTCACATAAGATTTTTGATTTTTTTTAACAAAAGATGATGACACGCATGAATTATTTTTAAAATTTTATAAAAAATTAAAGGCACTAAAACATAAATTACACCAACAAAATTATATTTAAGCTAAACAAAATTATATTTAAGTTTTTATTTATTATGCCTTGCATTTCTTGCTTACTATTGGAAAGGAAAACTCCAAGACAGAGAGACTAGCCTATTGGTCAACCAGCCCTTCTGAGATTGGCGTATTGGTCAACCATTCAATAAAGACATTTATATTTGTGGGTCTTGGCATTTCATGGCATAGTGAACTATGAATAGAACTAAACAATAGTAAAAGAGAATTTTTTTATTATTACCGTTTATATAGTCTGATTATGATAATCTATGATTCTATATTGTATATAAAATGAGTTACCTTATTTATTTTGTTATTTTAATTTATATTTTAGACTTTGACACGATGACAACAAAATTGTGATTGTCAATAGTTAAAAGCAAGTGTTCTGTCTGTATTAGTATTTATCCAAAAATAAATTTTATTACTTGAGAAAAGACTTTTCTTTTTCAGCATAAAAAAACAACTTTCCATAATGCATTAATAACATGAATTGTAATACACAGATTGATTGGTCGGTCCGTGGACGAGATGCACAAGGTAGTCAATTGGAAATCCAATTGTAATACATAGATTGATTGAACCTCAATATAAATTAGTCAATGAATTAGATGCATAAGTTAATCGATTAATGAAGTCTATAAGAGACTATAGTCATACATAATTAAGCCGATCTCAATCTAGGAGGATAAAAAACTCATCAATCTCAAGTCTTAAGGAGGACAAAAAAACTTTCATCGTTACACATAGGTCGGTCGATTCTCGACCTAAGAGAATACAAAATCGTATAAATTGTAATGACCAATATATTTAATGTCATAAAATTTTAGATTAGATACGATATGATTTTTTTTTTGTAAGGTTTACTTTTTTTTTTTTAATAACTAAAGATCTCCATGAATTTTACACACTCGTTCCATTACAAAGCGTTCTCTTTATTATTTTTTTTTTCTATTTGGTTTCTTTGTGTTCTGATCTCCAAATTTAAGTCAAAAATACTTTCGTAAATAGTTTTTTTTTTTTTACATAAACTTTTGTAATATAGTTTTCTATACACTTTTGATGAGACGGTGTCGACGTTGCAAGTTTTTAATTGTTTGTACAAGTTACATACTCACGTAGCTCCTTATTAATCGTTCAATTATATGAAAAGAATAAATTTGAAGAGGAGAAAAAGAAATAAATGTGAAACAGTCGTGCATAACCGGATGATTGTTAAATAATTTTTAGACCAATTAAAATAATAAAGAAAAAAAAAGTAGTAAAATTGGCCGTGTAAACAGTTGGATCAACAATTTCAGCTGAAGTTTTCAAATGCTCCAAAATGGCATCTCACAATTTCTCAGAAACCACAATGGGTGGAGGCGAAGCCTGGGGACACATTCATACTCTTTCCTTTGCTTCCTATTTTTCTTTTTTGATCTCACATACACCTTAAAATAATGCAATCCCAAAAATAAGAGCTCCCCAAAATAAACTCAAATTTTGAAGAAGTTTCGAATATTGGTGTGACTCTCGAGAGAATGTGTAACAGGAAAGTGTTGGTAAAAAATAAATAAGACCATCTAATGTGCGATGTACCTCCAATAAGACAAAAGAAATCTTAACAAGTAAGGTTAAAACGAGCTTAGGTTAGATAATGAGAAAAAGAATATGAACTATAGAAAGACGAAAACCAACGAGACAAAAAATTAATTCGGCTTATTTCTTTATAAAAAAAATAATGAAGTAAAATAATATTAAATTGTATTTGTTAAGTAAATATGTATATATTTTTTAATTTATACAAATGGTTTATAATATTAAACGTGATTGGCAGTCCCTACCAAAAATAATTATCAAGGTTCTTTAATAAAATTTAGTTATCAACAAAATTATTAGATACTTTACACCAAAATCATAATTAAAAAAATACTATCTCCGTTTTTATATATAAGAACGAATTACATAATTTACCATGATTGAAAAGAAATATTTAATTTAATTGATAATAATTAATTTTTCATGCATATATATATATATTATTTTTAAAACTATCATTGTATTAGTTCTTTTTCTTATTTAATACTCACATATCATCTAATAAGTTAAAGTGCATGTCTTAATTATGATCTTATCTCTTAATTAATACTTATCTTTCTTTTAACCAATTAGAGAACATCTTTAAAAGAATTATACAATTAATACATTTATTAAATTAAGAAAACACACTTTAATTAGATGTATTGTAGTCTAAAACTAATTAATATGAGATAATAGAAATTGAACTTTATATAAAAAAACAAATAATTATTTAAAGTTTAATTTTATAAATAAGAACATAAATAATATAATATTATTTCATTTTTTATAATATAATACGAAATACGTGACTTTATTGATTACTAATTTTCATTAATAAAGAATATCTTCTCTTTTTTTTTTATTTCATTTTTTGGTGAAAGAATCCGAATAGAGTTTGAGTTGTAGCAAGGGGTAAAAAGATTGATTAGAATTAGAGGAGTGTAGTTGGAGTCAAGAATTATAGGTTTGGAAGGAAGGTTCCAATTTAAATAAAATTAGGAAGGGTGCAATATGATGTTCAAAAAGTAGGTGCGGGGAAACTTAACAGGAGTTTCCCAATTCCAGTTATAGATAGAATCCACCGACTTGGTCCGTTTGGAACCAACCAAACACGACAATTTCCTTTATCGTTTTCTTTTCTTTTTAAGCCATGAAGCATTCCTCAGCTTGGTTGGGTGTTCTAAATAAAACTGTGACCAGAGGCTGTATCTGCATTTTGACCCAAGTTTTTTGGTTCACCTTCCCCTCCGTCTTTTGACTTCAATGTGAACTCTCCAACAAATGCTAACATTGCACAACAAGCCTACCTAAATTTCTTCCCATTAACTCCTACGCTGTTTCCTTCTTTAGCTATTCAATTTCCCAACCCACCAATTTTCATTTTAATACTTAATTCATCTACTAAATAACAAAAATTATTAAATTTAGAATTATTCATTTTATACGACTCTAACCATATCTTTTATTATTTCAATTTAATTGCTGTGTATTTCTTTTACCATTAAAAATTACAATAACTAAACTAAATTTGAATTTAAGATTTTATACTTATTACTCTAACTTTCTATCATTATACTACTCTTAGTTGTTTAATTACTATGTATTGTAGGTATGAAAATATTCATATTATTAATCGATTAAAATTAAAATAAATCTAACTTTTAAAATAATTATTATAAAAACCAATAAACTTATCATATTCAACCATTTGTAATTAAATAGCAATGTAAGGGAAACAGATTCTCTCAAATAAGAAAAAAAGAGAGGTTTTTCATATTAAAATCTTATCCTTATTTTTTTTATAGAAAAAATCACTACTTTATAATAAAAATATATATAATAATATTTAGTAAAAGTAAGATCTCGAGCAGTAAGGATGACAAATAAACTTGTATTCATGGATAATACTTGAATCTGTCTCGATTTTAACAGGAAATATCTGGTTTGACTGAATACGGGTAAAATCTAATATATTAAATTGAGTATGGATATAGGAACGAGTATGAGTACATACTTACCCGCCTCGTACTCGTCCCCGTCCCCGTCCCCATCCCCGATTTAATTGTGTTAAAAAAAATTAATATTTTATTATGTGTAATTATTTATTATAATGTGAAATATTTATAGTTGTTTAATTATTAAGAAGTCCATGGATTAGAATATGAGATAGAAAAATAACCTAATTATTATTGTTATAATACAATGAAAAAATAATTTAAAAAGATAGTGTATTTTTTTTACAAAAACAAAAATAATTTTTGACTAGTACGAGTATGGTGAGTATATCCGTTACAGGGACAGGGATGCTGAAAAAAAATAATATACTCGAAAAGTACGGGTACATGTAGGGGGATGAATTTGAGTCATGGGAACGAAGACATGTATCATGAAACTTGTATTCGACCCGTCCTATTACCATCCCTATCCGGCAGTATTGATGTCAAAAATCCATTCTTTAATATTAAAAATGTTTTAATTATTCTTTTAGTCCAATAATTTTATAAATTTTATTTTTATATTTTATAGTTTAAAGTATTCTATTTTAATCTCTATATATATTATGTCTTTTTTTTTTTAAAGTTTCTATCGCAATAAATAAAAAGAACTATTTTTTTCATAAAATTATAAAAATAAAAATTGTAGGTATAAAACTAAAATAAAATAATTTTAATTATGAGAATCAAAAGTTAAAGATGATGAAGTGACCTATTATTTTTGAGTTATTATATTTCGAGAATTAGAAATAAAAATAAAAAATGTTATTTTGATGTAGGATGGATGGTAGTAGTAACTAGAGTAAGTAAGCATTAAATTAATGATGAATAGTTAGGAAAAGTGAATTGACGGAAAGAACCCGAATTAAGGTTCTAGGAAAGAGAGAGGTTCCTTAAGCAGAATCAAAGGTGATGCTGTTCTTTGGCTGTCATCCAAGCAGGGATCATTGCTTCCATATATTAATTAACAATACATGCTTTCCACTCTTTCCATGAACCTTTCTCATTATACTTCTCCTTCACCCTTCACACACACACACACGCACATATATATATATACACAAGAATTGATCCCACATCGATCGCATTGAGTGATGGCTGGAATGGGGAAAGGCATAGGGTTCGAGGACTTGCTACCCGTGATGGCGAACAAGCTCGGTGGGGAGGGGCTGATAAAGGAGCTATGCAACGGGTTCGAGTTGTTGATGGACAAAGGCAAAGGGGTGATAACGTTGGAGAGTTTGAGGCAAAACGCTGCGCTTTTGGGTCTCCAGGATTTGGAAGAGGATGAACTTGTCAGCATGCTCAGGGAAGGGGACCTTGATGGAGATGGGGCTCTCACGCAGATGGAGTTTTGCGTTTTGATGTTCAGGTTGAGTCCTCAGTTGATGGACGACTCTTGGCTTTTCCTTCAAGAGGCTCTCCAACATCAATTTCATCTTAACAATAATAATAATAATGATTCTTCTGTTTAATGTTTAATGTTTAATGTTTAATGTTACTACCTAGGCTCATCATTCTCACTTTTCCTTATTTTGTACACACTCTTTTCGATCTCTTCATGTTAGTGTTGGAAATAATTCATACTCCATTCTTGCTTACCTTCTTCTTGCTTTCTTTTCATCTTCTTTTACCTTTTGCGTGCGACTTAAATAAAACATTTCCTCACTAATTTATGTTTACCAAGGATGATGCCTTTTGCTCATTCTTTCTGGTATTAGTAAACTTAAACTGTTCATTTCTCGAGAGTGGAGCCAGAGCATGGAAATTTCTCTGCCCAGTTAACCGCTTCATCGGGGTAACTTAGCTTTCAAATTCATTTCATTTCGTCAGAACATAATCATCACCAGAAGTCAATAAATATTTAACGAAATATTAGGGTAAATTAACCTATTCCGATGATTAATTAAACCAGTAAATTGATGTAAATCAGAATACTTTTTTTTCTTAAAAAATGTGTTTATATTTAGAAGAAGGGTCTTGTTCTCCATAATAATGTTTAGTACAATGGTTTATTAAGATAAATACTTGTATCCTATAAAAAAAAACAACTTATGTTTGTAGTCTTTTTTATTTAGTGGTAGATTTTTTTTTTGAGTTAGATTTTTTTATCTATTACAATACTCATATAATTTGATCAACCAATTAAACTAGATTTTATTGATATAAACTATACACTCGATGATATCATATGATTAATTATAATATTTTTTACACCTTAAATTTAATTTTTATCTTTAGTCTCTTTATTAATTCCTTTTTTGACACATGATCAACATTAAAAGAATATGATTTTTTTTGTCGATAGATATAGGCCATATAGTATTCTTATATTTACAACTAAAAATTAATTTGTATTCACATGTCGTAACTTTAGTTAAACATCATTTAAATATTAAGAAAAATTAATCGTGAAAAATTATGAGTAGTAATTATTAAATAATAATTTATTGAGCTAATGAGAATTGAAAAATAATTTATTGATATAATGCACTTGTGTATATCAAGCTTAGACAGGGCTAACTCTCTAAAAATATTTTCTACCTTAAACCTTGATTTTGAGTAATCACAGGGAAGAAGTACAATTTGGATTAAACCACGAGTCTATGGCTTCAATTTAATGATGCGTGGAACTTTCGCAGAACCTGTCACATTCATTAGTTGCAACTTGAAAATAGCCGTTGGAACACGTCAATTTGCTTACAACCTTTGATTCTTTAACATGAAGTTCATAACCCCATCATCCTCATATCCAATTCCCCGTATTTTAATTTTGTTTTGTGTCTTGCGCCAACCAGATCTGCTACAAATATTAAACATTCAAGGTGGTCGGCAATATTGGAACAATTTGAAACAAGAAAAATGTATGCTCTGTTCTTGTGCTTCTGCAATCTCCAACATTTTATTTAACAAACAAACGTGATTGGCAAATCTCATAGCTGAGGTTGGTTCTCTAACGCAGCAACACCTTTTCGTACATTATTACCTTTAATTTTTTGGGGGGTGTTTGTTCATAAGTCTGATCTCCTTTCTTAAAATTGTGGTATAATTCAGTTCACTTGCCCTGTTTTTTTATTGCATCAACCTCATTTCTATAACAATTAATTCTAGGACAACTCACAAGATCGCGAAGGAAGATCGGAAGCACCAAAATGCAAAAAAGTATAGCTAACATTGTTTTTTTGTTGTTGTTAAATTAACTATTTGTTCGGGCTTTGTGGTTGTTCAAAATTGAAATTTTAGTACGAAAAAGTGCAAGTTTTTATAACTATTTTGTAAGGTCAAAAGGTCTTTCTTGGGGTGCTTTCAATACAGATAAAAGCTTAACTTGTATGCATGTATAATGACTAAAACCTATTACTTTCTCGTGTGGGGATTATACTTAAAATAGAGATAGTTAAAGGGACTTAGTGAATAATTTAACCAAAAACAAAATATTTTTAGAAAAAATTATAAATATTATCATCCAAGTAATAGCTAAAAGGTGGTTTATATATAAAGGATGACCATATATATTAAGCTTTGTTTCGCCTATATTTTCGTTTTATTAATAGTTACTTTAATGTTAAAATTCTATGAGTTTTAAAAATGAATAAAATTTGTACCTATTTTTATTTATTTATTAATAATTACATGTTTGATAATTTTCATTTTCTTAACTTAAAGAGATGACTAAAGAGAAAATGCAAAATGAGAGAAATAGAGAGGTGAACAATAAGAGAGTAAAAAAAGAAAGAGAAAGAAAGACAACTTTCCAAAACTATACATTTTTTTTCTTCTTAAACACATCTTTTATCTCTTTATATATCGCAATTGTACCACTTTAATTTTCTAAAATTTAATTAAACAAATATAATAATTATGCGATTCTGATCTTTTAATTTTTAATTAAACAATTTTAATCTATTATAATTATGTAATTTTGTCTTTCTCATTAAAAATCTAATAATTTTCTTTTGATACAACGCTAACCAATGATATTGTGTAACAATAATTTGAATTAACTTTCTTTTAATATATTTATCTTATCTAATATATTTTATATTTTTAAAATACTAATATATACTAATTTATATATATAAAATTATTAACTATCTATATATATACTATTATAATCTATTAATTTTATTTTATATTATTTTTAAACAAAATATATAGAGACACGATAAGAGGTGTTTCAACTCTATTAACTTGTATAATTACGATATTTAAAAGACTAAAAATTTTACAATTACAGTACTTGATGAACTAAAATTGTGCAATTAAAAATTGAGCCACTAACATTACACAACTATGATATTTTAAAAAAAAATTAAAATTACTCAATTAAAACTTTCAGAACCAAAATTATATAATTATAATATTTGAGAGATCAAAAATACAATTAAATTTTTTTTTTTAATTTTTTTCATTTAGTAAAATTAATTTTGAATTATAAAATGTAATTAAGATACACATCCAGATAAATATCAACTATAAACTTTACATAAAAGCATATGTTACAATAGAAGAAATTAAATAATTAATTTTGGTAATTCGCCAAATGATCACTTTATCTGTTGATGTTTGGTCTGGATCTAAGGGTGGCCACAAGACTCTCCACGAGGTAGGCCTCAAGTAATACCAGTAAACAAAGCCCAGATCGAATACAAGTGAAGACATGATGGACTATTTTCATCATCATCATCATCTTTTTTTTTTTTTTTTTTTTTTTTGACAAAAGACTATTTTCACTTAAACCGCATAATATTGATGGAAATATTTTTTCTTCAGTAGCTTTTTTCTTTTATACAATAAGATTATAAGAGTACGTTTTAAAATTAATTTCATGTATTATTAGGCCAAAAAAATAGGTTAATTCAATGAACGAAACTGTTTAATTGTTAAAAAAATATATGCTTTTCAAATCGAGTAAATTGTGCTAATACACAGTGAAAATTTCATCAATTTTTTTCCTGAAATTTTCCCTTTTCTTAACCTTATATTAACTCTTTAATTATTTTAAAAGTATTACTTTAACATCTCTTAATTATTTTAAAAAATATTACAGTGTAAACTTATAAGAGAGGTACCAACAGAGATTTTGAACATTTCCAAGGAAGATTATTTATTGAAATTCTTATTGATAAGATATGTTGCTTAAAAAAAACTTGCATCGGAGTAGATGATACGAGAATATCTTAATTGAGTAGTTTAAATATGATTCTTAAAGATCTTAGAATAAAAAAAATATTTTTTGAGAGAAGTGTTACAAGAGAGAAAATATGGTTGTTAAAGTAAGAAAGATATGTAGTAAGATATTAAGACTCATAAATTAAACTAAAGAATCCATTTGCATTACAGTAAAATTTAATAAAAAATTCTTAAACTTATGTGATATTGTTATAGCTGTCAAAACGGGTCAATTTAGTCTATGTGGACCGGCTTACCTTGATCCACTTTAAAAACGAACCAACTCAACCCAGCTCACTTTTGATTTTTTCAAAAAAATTTAGCCCGGCCCGGCACACCACGGGTTGGTGGATTATACGGGCTAGCCCACCAGCCCACCAAAAATTAAAAAAAAATTATCAAAAAAATTCAAAATTTTAAATTAATTATAAATTAACATAATAGTCATAAAATTAACATTATTAATAGTCATAAGTCATAATTCATCATACAAAATTAAATATAAATCATGATAAAAGTCTAAAATAAAAATTTTCAATATCCTATCATACAAAATTAACTACAAATCATACTTAAATTTTTATTGAAAAAAAATGGTAGGTTGGTGGGCTACCCGGCCCACCACGGGTTCAGCCCAGATGGGCTGGGTCAAAGTGGGCCGGGTTGAGATATATCCACGTACTATAAAACTTCAATTTTTTTTTACCTGGCCCGACTCATTTTCAAGGTGAGCCGAATTGGTCCACGGCTCTCGACCCATTTTAACGGCTCTAGATATTGTAAGACTCACAAAAATAAGATAAGCAACCAAATGTTAGAGATGGTTACATAACTATAACCTTATTTCTTAAAAAACAATATTTGTTCATTATATATGAAAAAAACAATTTTTTTTTGAGAAAGGTCAATTTTTTAAATAAATCTCAATAACTCACAAAATTGGTCGGAAGATTTAAAAGAATCAAAAGACAAAGTGACACAAGTTTATTCAAATAATAAATTCCTAAAAATTGAAGTTGAATGTAGAGTGAAAGATTTTAACAATATTGTGGTCCAAGGGGAAAATTCAGAAACCGGATCCCTGTCTGGGCGATCTCAGCGTGTGCACATAATTGGTAATATGATGTTATCTCTTCAATTGGCTTGCCAACCATGCTTTCCTGTTTCAAGTGGACACGTGAAAGAAATCATCATTCATGCACCAACACTGAATAACAAACCCCCATTTTAGAATCTCTGTTCCGTGATCTTTGCGGCATTCCAAGAAGAACTATTGTACCACACCATTACTTCAAATAATGAGAGGATGAATGTGAACAACAGGAAATGATGGTTCTTTGTAAATTTTAATAATACAAAAACTACTGTGCTTTTTGAAATAACGTGTATCATACTATCAAAGTACAAACAGGTACCTCAATTGTGTTTA